GTGCTATTAAAATTGAGGTACGGATCATATGATTTACTATGTCTCGTACCTCAATTTTAATAGCATACCACCCATATTTAGGAGTGTGGCTTAGTCGAATATGTGAGTAAAGATTCCGTAATTTACTACGAAATCCTTCAAATAAATATGAAGCGAATACTCAAAACCTCGTTAAAATAGTGTTTTTTATTACAAGCTTTTTTGCCCAAATTTGTTTTTTTTTATTAAAAATGAATGGATATCAATGTTTAACATTTTTATTTACTCTCGCGAAAATATCGTGTAACATATTCGAAGACAAATAATGTTGTTTATATATACTGTATATATATATATTAAACATATTTTTTCTTTATAAGTTTATTTATTTATCTGATATTGTTTTTGAAGCATGATTATAGAAATTGAATATTAATCAGTTGAAAAATTATCCACCGAATTACATGTAAAAGAATGACTTGAATTATTGAAATTAAATATGAAAAGACGTATTTTTCACGGTTAAAATATAATCACTTTTTTTTTTAAAAAAAAAAAATTAAATCAAAGACAAGCTTTCTCTTTTATAAAGATATGAAATTCAAATTTAGGATGGAATGAGAAAGAGTAACGAACTATAAAAATTGTAGATATTTAATCGCATTAAATAATGGCAAGCCCAATTAGTACATGTTAAAATTTCTTGTGATTATTTTTGAGTAATTTGCTGAAGTGTAGGTATTTTTTTACAACAAATATTTATGAAATTCAATTATCTGAAATTGCGAGAAACAAAGGCCTGGGCACATTTTTAATGAGAACACTGGAAGAAATCGGAAAATGAAAAAACTTATACTAACCGCAATTAGTATGTATTGTATATAATTTTTTTATCAAGAATGATTACTCGATAACTAAATTTTTGATATCTTTTTTTTTTTTTTATATATATAAATGTATAAAAGATATAAAAGAAAATAAAAATAATAAAATCGCAATTGATTTTTATTTAAATCACCTTGGGTATTTTTTTATTTAAAATGTATTGTTCGATTTAAAAAAAAATTTATTTTATTTTCTCTTTGTGGTTGACATTTCACCAAGTAAAATTTTATTATCAGAGAAGCTAAAGACTATGGTTTTGTAATAATGGGTCATCCTTATTCTTTTCGAGTAAATGGAATAAAATTAATAAAATTTAATCTACCAAATATCTTCTCCGTTATTTATAGGAAACGCGTCTCTTTATTAGTGAATCTATCTTTCCAAAACGCTCTTTTTCATAAATGCCGTTGACTTTTCTGCAGCAACTTTGACTTCTTCTAAATGATCCATAATACTTTCAGAATGTTTAGTGACAAGTAATAATAATAATATTTGACCTAGTTTCTGATTAAAAGGTCGAAGTTCAATATTTACCTTAAAATGATAAAAACCTTAATAATATTTGGATCTTCAATTCGAAATTTTGACTAAAGATCGAAAATAATATTTCAATAATTGAATCATCCCAATTTTCAAGATGTTTAGGGAGAGTTTCATCAATAAGCTCACTAAACATTTGGACATTAGAGGATAATCCGTCTTTACCTTTGCAATTTTTGAAAGAAAAGATAACTACCCCTAAATTTAACGAAAATTTTTATTTTTATTTTTATTTTTTGAATATAACTTAATATAAACTGTATACAGCTTCTAAAATCGCATCTTATATTGTATTTTTGCCTGCTCTATAAGTTTGATTAGGGGTCTAAAGAAGGTTTTAAATGTCATTTTTAGAAAATTAACTAATTACAAAATAACATATAAAAAGTCAAATTGCATTTAAAATCATCTTTTTTGTTCTAAGTAAACTTGCAGAGCAGGCAAAAAAACATTAAAAGATAAGATGTAATTTTGAAAGTTATATAAATTTGTGTCGGGCTATATCAAAAAATCAGTTTTTTTCGATAAAGTTATATTATCAATTTGGGTTAGAATAGATAACAATTCACGTGAAGATTTCGATTAGATTAAACGTATAAAATTCTTAGTAGTCTTAAATGTAAAAAATAAAAAATATGTAATTTAGATAGATCAAAAGAATTTTTCCAAGAAGGTAACCTTAAGAAACAACAAGTTCCGATACGAGATATCCTCACATTGTACTAATGTCATTACACAGTGACTAAAAGTTTGTATACATTTAATTTTTCAAAATATTTGTGAAGCTATAACGATAAATAAATTCGATAGATTTTTTAATCTTAATTAGTTCGACTTCGATTTTTAAACCAAAAAAGGGACACTCGTCTGAACATGTGGAAGTCGAATTAAATTATTGAATTTGGACAAAAATTCTTTGATATCAGAATCCTTGTCAAATTTTGTAATTTTCTCAAGTGAACTTTTTAAGGTTTGAAGTAATTCACGATTTAAAGACCATTTCGCGTGATCCTCATTTGATTCTTTCGAGGAGATGTCGACAACATTGTCATTGGTTTTAATTTCACATTCATATAGTATTTATTAATATGACATGTTCACATTAAAAGAAAAAAGCTTACTTTTCATTTTTACTATGTATTCTAGGGACGAATTTTTTTACCGCTAAAAAATTTTGTTTCACTTCTCCTTAAATGTCACCGTTCATGATCATTGTCGAAATATAATCCTTAGTCACGTAAACATAATACTATTAAGGATAATAATACCGTTCATCTTCTTTATAAAGTTCAAAAGAATATGAAAATTGGCGATGAATAATCACAAGAAATAGTATTTCACTTTCTTCTTTAATCCATTGTACCAAATAAAATTTCTTTGATAGCAGGATCTATAGGAAACGAATGTTTATTCGAAGATAATTTTTTGTTCCATTCTTCAACAGTTAATAAACGATGGTTTGACATTATTAATAACAAAAATTTTGATCAAGAGGAAAGTGTAAATTTAGCACGAAAATTTATACACAAACACAAAGTTACTGCGCCAAGATCCACTTTGACATCATTAGAAAAATTTTAATATTATTTTTATTTTTATTTTTATTCAATTTGATTGATGATAATTAAATATTTCAGGATGATTGTAATCCATAAAGTTATAATATTTTTGAAATTATCGGGATCCAATTCCGGCAAGTTCTTTCGAATCGTATCCAGCAATCCATGAAATAAAGTCTGATAATAAATTTTAATATTTTAATAACGAGGTACGCGAACATAAAATGATTTTGAGAATAATTTACTTACTTCACTTCCAAGATTGGATAATGTAAACCATCAACGAAGAAGTTACTTAAAGTGTGTGATTATTTTCATTTAATGTTATTGATTTTATCCATAAACATTTTCCTAGCATTTACTACATTTACTACGGAATATTTAGTTCAATTGCTAAATTAACACAAGTTTGAGCATATTTAGCAGTAGCTAATTTCCAAGGTAATATGTTCTTGAAATCTTCTTCAAATAATGAAGGAGGAACTATAACTAAAATTCTTGTATCAGAAGAATAATGAGGTGAATCGGAATCTTTAATGATCTTAATCATTTGTCTAAGATTTTCTTATTATCAAAGGAACATATTGATTTGATGGTGAAATGGGTGAAATGGCTGCATCATTCGCTCCAAAAAATATAGTTAATTAATATATTTTTGGGTTTTTTATCGAATTGTTTTTCTTTGGAATATATTAAGCAGTAACCTTTTGGCGTTTTCAGTGTTATAACCAAATGAAATAATAATTGATTTTGTATTTAAAAATTTAAAAGCACGAGATATCAATTTATGAATTAATGAAAATTACCTGAAAAGCCTCTATTTAAAACATCCAATTTTCTAACAAATAAATTCTGAAGCCATCCTTTATTGTCCGAATTATGGCTAAAACTAAAAACATTTGTAAACAAATTTATATTTATGTTTATTATGTTTAGTAAGGGAAACCATAGTAATAGAATCACAATATGTGGTGGTAAACCGTAAAATATGTTTGTTTATAAAAAGTAAAAAAATAATACGCAAAAAAAAATTTTTTTAATTTGATTATAATAGCAATAAATTGATTTTTCAGAGACATGTTTTATTCTTGTAATTAGAACAGCTGCGCACTACAACTATGTGCTACTAACTAGCATATAATTTTTTATTTAAGATTATGATCAGCCAATCATATTTTTCTAGCGGAAATCTGCGATCACATGGTCGCAGAACCAAAAAATGTCGATCAGGTATAAATCTGGTCAGTTTGATAAAAATTTGCTCCCTTTAATATTCTTTTTATCATCATGGGTTAGTAAAACTTTTGTTTCTGATTTTCGAAAGAATTGTATAAAATTTACAAAATTATTATTAATTTATTTTATTACGATATTAAAAGCTTCGGGAAAGGAAAAGAATACTCTTGCAGCACAAATAGCCGAATTATCAAATCCTGCTCCAACGGGTTAGTTTTTTTTTTTTTTTATTTTTTAATAATATATTGTATCAATAAACACCAATTATCTTTGAAGATATTGATCCGGAAGAATTTGGCGAAACCTTTCGTACACATGGATTTGATCAAAGTGATGATGATGGAGAAAATGAAAAAGTAGAAAAGGATATGGGAAGAGAACATTATATTTCAGTTGGGTATGATTTGAAAATTTATGATTATTGATACTCGAAAATTTTCTTGAATTTATTTGATACATGTTAATTATTTATAGAAAAAGTAAACTTCGGCACAACCTGTTAATTTTGGATGATCCAAAGTATGCTGGAAAACAAAGTAATAGGAAAGATATATTTTATGATTCCAATGACATTCCGGACAGTGAAGATATCGAAATGAAATATGGACAAAGTTCTGAATATGACACTGAGAATGAAATGACGGTTTTTGACGAGGAGGATAAACTTAATTCAGACAAAATGAAGAATGATAAAGATCAGGAATCAGATTTTGAAAAGAAAGATGATGACGTATCATTGGAAAATAGTTCACTTGTTCAGGAAGAATTAAAAAAAATTGAGGAAGATGAACGGTACAACAATTTATATTGGCTAACTTATCAATGAAATTTAAAAATATTAATATAATTGAATTATTTAGAAACTTGTTGCTCAAGATGACACAAAATGTTCAAGAAGACATAAATAAAGGGCGGCATGTTAAAACACAGCTGGTATGTATCATAACCATGAATTTATTTGCTTTTCGGTAATATTTCCACATTCTTATGTAACTTCTTTTTAAGGGGCTTTGGGATACATTTTTAGATACTCGAATTCGCCTTCAAAAAGTTGTCTCTATTGCTAATTCACTACCTCAAGTAACATGTTAAATCATAGTTTTATTGAATTAAATTTTTTGTGGATTTAATCGTTAAAGAAGCTTTTGTTCTTATAGAATGATGTCTATTCAGAATTTCTTTCGCAAGAATCAGATATAGCTGTTCAAGAAACACGAGAAGAATTAAGGGAACTTGTAGATTCACTTATAGATTTAAGAAAGGTATAACATTTTATATTTATTTTTCAATATTTAGTCTTATTTTTAGCTTTCATTTTAATTTTATATTGACAATTAGGATTTAAACCATGAAAATGATAATATTGAAGAAATTCCTGACAATGCGATGAATAGTCGTAAGCGTCATCTTGATGATGATAATTACACGGGGTATCTATGGAAAGACATGAAAGAATTGCGTGATCAATATTTACCTTATCGTAAGCAAACTATTGACAAATGGAGCAATAAGGTCCAAATCGCTTCAGGTATACCGCTAAATAAAAAGTTCAAAGCTATTAATCAAGATGTAAACACACAAATCGAACAAATCTTACAAGATAAAGAAAGATTGATTAATAGAACACAATTGAAAAGAAATTTAGATAATATTTTAGGAAAGGTTTGTCTTTTTGCCTTATAGAACATATAAAAGTTATTTAATTATATATTTTGAAAATTTGTAATTTCGCTTTTATTTCTTTTTCTTTATAGAAAGATTATGACGGACCTAATAAAGATATAAAGAAACACGACGAACATCTTTCACATTATGATGTTGAAATATTTGATGACACTGATTTTTATCAGCAGCTTTTGAGAGAACTTATAGAAAGTCGCATGATTGATACAGGTAAGTCTGTATAGTTCGGGGTTTATTTCTAAGGGTTCTATTTTATTGATTTTATTATTTTATGGCTGTTTTTAATGTTGAACCGCAGACGATCCAGTCGCTCTTGGAATGCAATGGGCAGCAATTAGACAAACAAAACAAAAGAAGAAAAAGGTTGATACCAAAGCAAGTAAAGGAAGACGACTAAGGTTATTTATTTTAAAATATTTACTAATTTTGGACGGATATTCATTAAAAAGCCTAAACTAAAATTTATTCAACTTACCTATTTTAGATATCATGTTCATGAGAAATTACAAAATTTCATGGTACCGATTCCAAGTAGTACTTGGCATGAAGACATGATTGACGAATTATACGCTTCTTTATTAGGTAAAAAATATGAAGGAGGTTCAGAATTAAGTGAAAATGAAATCAGATCAGAAACAGAACAAAGAGGAGACAATAGTACAATCGAAACTAGTTTGAATGATTTGAGAATTATTGGGTAAGACGTTTGTTAAATAAGTTACAGATCGTATTTGGGATTTAAAGGAGTATTTAATATATTTATATTTAATTCTGCACCATAATAATAAAATTAGCATTAGATTCAATGCCAAAAAAAATAAAATAAAAATAAAAATAAAAACTAAATAAAATTTCTTACGCAAATGTTATTACTATATTTCAATTAACAATTATTACTTATTGTAAGTTCTGAATAACTGAGGTGGCTTGAACTTATAGAACTTTCACATATAAAAAAAATTATGGGCTATTAATAGCAAAGTGTGGTCTCAATATTTCGGAGTTCGTCAGATGATCTGAAAAGTATAAATATTCAGCTATATTATAATTTAACATTTTGGAATTTATCACAAGCCGAAGATCCGATCTGCGTTCACGGCCTTTGGCATGACAATACTATAAACTTTTGCTTCTTCTTGAATCCGTTTTGCCCGTAATGAAAACAAAACAGCGGAACGTTTGATCGTTAGTCTTCCAAATGGTTCACAACCTTTTAAATCTTTAATAATTTTCTCAATGCGTTCAATTTCGGTTTCCCAATAGGTCTCACAATAACTTATGATTTCCATGATCTTTTTAAGACATTCTCTCATTTCAGATAAGTAAGTTAGAAAGTTACCGCAAGCTGAATATGTTCTAGCTTCAAGAGCATGATTTTTGGCAACGACTGCACTGTAATATGTAAGATTTGGTTTTTTATGAATTTCTAATCATAAACAATTTTAAGAAATAAATATCCTTAATAAATTACCCGCCAATAAATGCTGTTGTACCAATTCCAACTGCTAACAAAGATGCTCCACCCGTGAATGGAACTGCTCCAAGCGCAACTGCACTGCCAACACAGGATATTATTGAGCTAAATTTAGCAGCCGACTTTGCTTTATTATTTTTTTCATCAACATCATCAATACATTCACGTAAATTATTCCTAGTGTTATTAACATTATGATCAGTAATGTCAGTAGAAATAGTTTCTAAACGAGTTTTAATTTTGACTAAACGATCCTTAAGTAATTCAGAATTATTCTTATTTAACGTAGCATTACTCAAAGTTGGCCTTAATAATTTCAACAGTTCATCATTATTGATGTTATCAACAATACAGCAATCAGCAAATAGAATAATGTCATCTGCATGAGAACTGATTTTAAGAACATTAGTTATTGATTGTTCGGCAAAATCTCGAAATTTATCCCTCTGCTTAGAAATTTTCTTAAGTTTCTCTTGAACAAATTCATTTTTTTCAACTCTAAGTCGTTGAATTTTAGAAAAATATTCGATAGACTGAATCGTTTGACGTTGCAATTCAGTTATGTTAGGCGTGTCCAATGCAATTAATTCCTGAGTAATCATTTTGCGGTAAAATTCTAAACCAGAATTGCATTTTATTATTATATTAGACCTTTTTAAATTGAAAATAAATAATATATATAGAAATTAATTTCTATATAAAAAATTGGGCTGAAAGGATCGTATGAAATAACATTTTAGCTAAATATAGTTACGCAATCAAAATAATAATGAATTAGAAATTGTAATTATTAAAAAAACGCGTAGTAGCCCCTATGATTTGACAATCAATTGTCGTACAACTATCGATTCCTCTTTTTAGTTATGTTTTGAATACATAAATAATAAATATGCAATAATAAAGATAATCAACAAATCTGATAAATCTTCATATTAGCTATTTCTAATAATTTTATATAATCAATCATATAATAAATATATTAGATGTTAACGATCGATCTCAGGTAGATCGCGATCCGATCATAAGGCCCGATCTGAAGGTTGAGATTGGATCGGATTTTTAGCCAACCCAACTTTTTTTTTGGCGTAATATTTGAATATGTCGTATGTGAAATAAATTCTGCAAATAATGATATATTCTTCCGAATATTTAGGCAACAGAGGAAAATACATCATGATGATTATATGCTTTTGATAGATCTTGTAAAAGGATCAAAAGTTTTTGATAGCAGTATGTTTGGCTATGATAGAAAACAAACAATAATAATTTTGACAAAGGATTTTCTTAGTAGTTTCTAACCTTATTCCAAAAAAGAATCCAAACCATTAACCAAACGTCTTGTTGACTTTGTTACAGATATGCAACCATAAGATTTGTGGGCGAAACCAGAATTTTACAAAAGACTTAAATCCGAAACTTTCTGATAAACTGAAACTAAGATGATATTGGTGAAACTAGACGGTATTGGCAGAACTTTCTGATATTAGCGAAACTCCTCGGATCATGTGATGTAATATGGGGTGAGTGTTGCAAAAAGGGACCAAATTGAATTGTTTTTTCAAAAAATTATTCCTAAGTGAATTAGATGTAACTTTTATTGTTTGATCCAGAACTTTAATTATTTTAAAAAAACTTTTTTACAATTTGGTCCATTTTCGCAGCACTCACCCCACCCCCTATATAGTTAACCAATCAAAATAATGCCGATTTATTAAACGTTTCCATAATTTATTTAAACTTTAACGCTTGCTTATGATTGAGAGATATAAAAAAGTGAAATAAAATGAAGCACGTAAAAAAAGGAATACAAAAAAAGGAGGCTTTTTTTTCATGTTTTTTCCTTTTTAAAAAGTCAGAAATAAGAGTTTTCTGTATTTTTCTTTTTAAATTGTAAGTATTAATTAATAATTTATAATAAAAATAAATTTTTTTTTATTAAATTAAAAATATTATATCAAGTGTTTTACGAAACCATGTTTTTTTGACAAGCCATCAGATCAAAGCAATTCATTAACCATAGCGATCACATTACATAGCATACTGATCATGGATATCCAAATGTTTACATACCAATCGGAAGCAATTCCTACCATATTATTGTCCATCATAACAAGAACTAGATGATATGAGAAATCATTAAAAAGTATAATTACACAAAGGAGCAGCAATTATGGGCAGTTATCAGCGATTATTTTCTTTATAAGCTAACGCGAGAGGGTTCGTTATTATTTTTTTTTGTTTAATTCTTTATTTTTTGATTTTAGGATTGTTTCTCTTTCTTCAGATTTTAAGGTAAATCTTGTAAAATGGATTCTTTATTTTTTTTTTTTCTGATATTTAGGATCGTCTCTCTTAAGGTAAGTCTTGTGGGTGGGTTTTCTTTTTTGTATAATTTTTTGATTTTTTTTTTTGATTTTTAGGATCATTTCTCTCCCTTCAGACCATAAGGTAAGTCTTGCGGATGGGGTTCAATCAACAAATATCCTGCTGTTATTTTCTCATGAGAATTTTAGGTTTTTGAAGATTTTGCACCTCTTAATTTGGGTATATTGATAATCTTAAGCATTTTTAATATATTTTGAAGATTATTTTCGTTCATTTGATTAATAAAAAGATAATTATAAAATTTATTTAATTAATTGATCCTTCAATACAAAATAATTAACTCATAAAACTTATAATATATAATAAATCATAAAAATCTTGTAAATCCCATCCCGTCTTATTAGCACAAAGTGGATAATAAAAGATTGCCAATGATTTCCATTTTTTTGAAATAGAATTTTTTCAAGAATCCATTTTAATATTTATTTCAAATTCTTTTAATAAGAATAAATTAGAATAAAATAATCATAATATTAATACAAAATCGAATTTCGTAACATAGTAAAACCTTTTTAAAATCTATTATTTAAATTTTTGTCTTTTGATTGGTTAGGACTTATTCAGGAATAGGTCCGAAAAAGACTTATTCAGAACCAGGTCTGAAAAATTGGACTTAAAGAACCTGGTCTTTAAGACTAGGACTTAAGATTTTAACAACCCTAGTGACAAAGGTAACCAAAAAATGTCTAAATCTAATTTTTTGATAAAAATTTACTCCCCTCTTTTATCATCATGGGTTAGTAAAACTTTTGTTTCTGATTTTCGATAAAATTTTACAAAATTATTATTTATTTTATTTTATTACGATATTAAAAGCTTCGGGAAAGGAAAATTGCGGCACAAATAGCCGAATTATCATATCATGCTCCAACGGGTTAGTTTTTTATTTTTATTTTTTAATAATATATTGTATCAATAAACACCAATTATCTTTGAAGATATTGATCCGGAAGAATTTGGCGAAACATTTCGTACACATGGATTTGATCAAATTGATGATGATGGAGAAAATGAAAAAGTAGAAAAGGATATGGGAAGAGAACATTATATTTCAGTTGGGTATGATTAGAAAATTTATGGTTATTGATATTCGAGAATTTTCTTGAATTTATTTGATACATGTTATTATTTTATAGAAAAAGTAAACTTCGGCACAACCTGTTAATTTTGGATGATCCAAAGTATGCTGGAAAACATAGTAATAGGAAAGATATATTTTATTCCAATGACATTTCGGACAGTGAAGATATCGTACACGGAGTATCTATGGAAAGACATGAAAGAATTGTTGCGTGATCAATATTTACCTTATCGTAAGCAAACTATTGACAAATGGAGCAATAAGGTCCAAATCGCTTCAGGTATACCGCTAAATAAAAAGTTCAAAGCTATTAATCAAGATGTAAACACACAAATCGAACAAATTTTACAAGATAAAGAAAGATTGATTAATAGAACACAATTGAAAAGAAATTTAGATAAAATTTTAGGAAAGGTTTGTTCTTTGACTTATAGACTATATAAATAGTTATTTAATTATATATTTTGAAAATTTGTAATTTCGCTCTTATTTCTTTTTCTTTATAGAAAGATTATGACGAACCTAATAAAGATATAAAGAAACACGACGAACATCTTTCAAATTATGATGTTGAAATATTTGATGACACTGATTTTTATCAGCAGCTTTTGAGAGAACTTATAGAAAGTCGCATGATTGATACAGGTAAGTCTGTATAGATCGGGGTTTACACTCTAAGGTTCTATTTTATTGATTTTATTATTTTTTTAATGTTGAACCGCAGACGAAACTAGTTTGAATGATTTGAGAATCATTGGATAAGACATTTGTTAAATAAGTTACAGATCGCATCTGGGATTTAAAGGAGTATTTAATATATTTATATTTAATTCCGCACCATAATAAAATTAGCATTTGATTCCAATGCCAAAAAAAAATAAAAATAAAAATAGAAATAAAACTAAATAAAATTTCTTACGCAAATTTATTAATATATTTCAATTAAACAATTTGCAATTCACATAAAAAAATTATAAAAAATTGGGCTATTAATAGCACAGAAAAATTTGTGGTGTGGTCTCAATATTTCGGAGTTTGTAAGATGATCTGAAAAAAGCAATAATATATAAATTTTTTTTATTTGAACGTTATTCACCATTTTGATTTCAAAGAAAGAGGTGTCGAATTATCGAGACATCCTATAAATAATATTTTTGAAATCCCAATCAATCAAGTTTCCGACTAAATATCAGATATAAAAGATACAAAACAAATGTAAAAAATTTTTACTAACTTAGAAGGGAATTAATCACTAGCCGGAGATCCGATCTGCGTTCACGGCCGCTCGCATGGCAACAATATAAAATTTTGCTTCTTCTTGAATCCGTTTTGCCCGTAATGAAAACAAAACAGCGGAATGTTTGATCATTGGTCTTCTAGTCGTTTTACAACTTTCTAAACCTTTAATGATTTTGTCAATGTTTTCAATTTCGATTGTCCAATAACTTTCACAATAACTTATGATTTCATTGATCTTTTTAAGACATTCTTTCATTTCAGATAGACATGGTGATATCTCTTCAACTTCCTTCGCTAAGTAATTTAGAACGTTACCGCAAGCTGAATATGCTCTAGCTTCATAAGCATGATTGTTGGCAACGACTGCACTGTAATATGTAAGATTTGTTTTTTTAATGTAAATGTATGAATTTCTAATCATAAACAATTTTAAGAAATAAATATCCTTAATAAATTACCCGCCAAAAAATGCTATTGCTCCAATTCCAACGAAAGTTTCTGCTACCAAAGATGCTCCACCTGTGAATGGAGCTGCTCCAAGCGCAACTGCACTGCCAACATAGGATATGAATTTATTATTTTTAACAGCCAAATATTCGTCATTTTTCATCTCATCAACATCATCAATACATTCACGTAAATTATTCCTAGTGTTATTAATTTTAACATTATGATCAGTAATGTCAGTAGAAATAGTTTCTAAACGAGTTTTAATTTTGACTAATAGATCCTTAAGCAATTCAGAATTATTCTTATTTAACGTAGCATTACTCAAAGTTGGCCTTAATAATTTCAACAGTTCATAATTACTGATATCATCATCAATACAGCAATCAGCAAATAGAATAATGTCATCTGCATGAGAACTGATTTTAAGGACATTAGTTATTGATTGTTCGGCAAAATCTCGAAATTTATCCCTCTGCTTAGAAATTTTCTTAAGTTTCTCTTGAATAAATTCATTTTTTTCAACTCTAAGTCGTTGAATTTTAGAAAAATATTCGATAGACTGAATCGTTTGACGTTGCAATTCAGTTATGTTAGGCGTGTCCAATGCAATTATTTCCCGAGTAATCATTTTTATTTTGCGTTAACATTCTAAAACAGAATTGCATTTTTATTATTCCTTTTTAAATTGAAAATAAAAGAGGCAACACAAAATATATAAAGAATTTAATTTCTATAAAAGAAAAATAAGAAATGGGCTGAAGATTTCTATGAAATAACATTTAGCTAAATATAGGTGCGATGATGAATTGTCGTACAACTATCAATTTCTCTTTTTAGTTATGTTTTGTTTTGCTTTCTATAAAATTCTCACGTCAAATCAGTTTAGATAATTGCTGTGTATCAAAAAATCCGCATGGAATAATAAAAATCAGAATTAGGAAATCATTTTTTGGAATTTTGAGAGAAAATTGTTTAATGATAAATCAAGATATTAAAGTTATAAAGTTGGTGGTATATAGAGAATGTAATAATCATCTTTCATGATCCATAATTATCTTTAGCTTGTATTACTAAATATTTATTAAAATATATTCATATTCTTTAAAATATAACGATAGTATATCTTTCTCTGTGAAATATAAATGTCCAGAAAATATCAAAAATATCATCGAAAATGTCTAAGTTTATCCCAAAAATGGCTGAAAATATCTAGAAATTATATTTTTTGAAAGAATTCATTCATAACTAATTTTCAGATTAAACTAGACTAAAAATGGTAACTGTAATTAATTTACATAAGTTGCAACTGTTATGATAGTTGCAATCTAAATTATAGTTGTGATTTATTTTATTATTTAAATTATAATTAGTTGCAATTTATTATATGGAAAGTTTGCTAGGAAAATGGGGTTCTGAGACATTTTTTAAAAAATTGAAATTTTTGATACATATTAATTTATAACTTA